TTGAATTGCCCACGCTTCTTTTCCATTGGTTCATTTCGTTGTGCTTTTGTCTTTTCCTTTTTCTTAATTATTATTATTATTTTTTAATAGAGACAAGGTATCACTAAGTTTCTCAGGCTGGCCTTGAACTCCTGGGCTCAGATAGTCCTCCTAAAGTGCTCAGTCCTCCCAAAGTGCTCAGCCTCCTAAAGTGCTGGGATTATAAGCATGAGCCACCATGCCTGGCCTCTTCTTTTCTAAGATTTTCAGTGTGGGACATTTCTAGGGACCTATCTTCAGGCTCACTGACTACTTCCTCAGCCATGTTCAGTCCACTGCCAAGCCCATTGGAAGCATGCTTTCTTTATATGTCAGTGTTTTTCATGACCATTTCCTTTTGATTTCTTAGAGTTTCCATCTCTCTGCTTACAAGGGCCCACCTGTTGTAGGTTCTGTCTGCCTTTTCCATTAGAGCTCTTAGCATATTAATTATTATTTAAAATTGACAGCCAGGCATGATGGCTCATGCCTGTAATCCCAGCACTTTGGGAGACCAAGGCGGGCGAATCGTTTGAGGCCAGCAGTTTGAGACAAGCCTGGTGAAACCCTGTCTCTACTAATAATGCAAAAAAAAAAAAAAATAGCTGGTGTGGTGGTGCACGCCTGTACTCCCAGCCACTCAATAGCGAATGAGTGCAAGGTTTCTGGGAGTCCCCAGTACCTGACACTCACAACATACCCTGTTTGGAGGTAGGATTCAGGGACAGTCCAGGCTTGGACCTTGCTCTCAAGGGGTTCCCCAGTGTTCTGGATGAGTGGAGAGAGGGCTCAGTGCTCGAGAGCCTTAAGAAGTGGGGAGGGCTTTCTTGAAGAGGGGACATAAGAGTGGGGCGTCACAGAATGTGTATGAGTTCAGTAGGTCGAGAATGTCTGGAAGGGTGAGCTGGGCATGCTCAGGACTGGGCCGTTGAAAAATCCCACTGAACATAGATTTCAGTGGGAGCTTTTGTCACTCCCTGTCCTGAGGACTCTTAAGACCACAGAGAAGGTGGGCTGATGGCTTCCTGCCCCAAAACACTCCAGGGAGAGGCCAAGTGCCCCGTACCCTGCCATGATGGCACCAATGCTGGCAATGACCCACTCTTTGGAGTTGAGACCCGTGATCCCCACCCTGTGGAAGTGCTCCAGGCCCAGCTAGGGGAGGGAGGCCCTCATGAGGCTGAGGCACTAGCAAGCTCAGTCATCCCCGCCCCACCTGCCTGGGAGCCTCAGGCTGAGAAGCTTTGGCTCCCTTTTCTCTGTCACCTGTTTCTTCTTTATTCTTTTTCTTTTCCGTTTCCTTTTTTTTTCCCTGAAACAAGGTCTTGCTCTGTTGCCCAGGCTGGAATGCATTGGTGCCATCGTGGCTCACTGCAGCCTTGACCTCCCCAGCCCCAGCGATCTTCCCACCTCAGTCCCCCAAGTAGCTGAGGCTACAGGTGTACACCACCACACCTGGCTAATTTTTAAATTTTTTGTAGAGACGGGATCTCACTATGTCACCCAGGCTGGTCTTGTACTCCTGGGTTCAGGTGACCTCTTGCCTCGGCCTTTCAAAGCACTGGGATTACAACCGCCTCACCCATCCTGTTTCTTCTGTTGATCTGTTTTTTTTCTCTGATAAAATGACCCATCCTCCTCATGACACGCAACCACACATTCATCTGGAACTGGGGCTCTCAGCCAGGGGGTGACTCTGTTCCTCAGGGGACATTTGGCAATACTTAGAGACATTTGGAGTTGTCATATCTCGGGGAATGAAATGCCACGGGCATTGAGTAAATGGAGATTAGATACAGGACATTCCCCACCACAAAGAATGATTCGGCCCCTAAGGACAACAGCCCTGAGATTGAGAAATCCCAGGAAAAAACTACAAACTAAATACCTTCCTGACATTTTTTAAGCATGCATACTTCTCAGAGTTGGCGTGTCATCACGACCCGCCTTTGTTCACAAAACCATTCATTTTTACTGCTTCCCCCAGTCTTTAAATATTTCCCTGCAATATCAAATCTAACACTTCCACAATATTGTATAGTATAGAGATGTCAGGATTTAGTAATTCCCCTTATTGGTTGATACTTATGCTGCTGGGTTTTTTTGTTGGTTTCACTTTTTTTTTTTTTTTTTTT